CTCTTACACACACTCTCTCACACACACACACACTCGCTCGCGCGCGCATACACAAACAAACATCAGCACCCTCCCCCACCTATAATGGGCAAGTCCTTCAGCGCCAGCAGCGCAAACGACTGGCCCTTCTCCTCCAGTATGCGCATGCGCTGCAGCATCTTCATGCTCTTGAGATCCACCCCCTGCAGCTCTGGGGGCGATCAGAAGACAAGGGGTTGCAGGAACAGGGGGAGGCGGCGGGCTGTTGGACAGGAGTGGCGACAGGGTGTGTTGGGGCCAGCCGCCGTACGGTGCTGGCGCGGAAGGCGACCCTTCTGCAGGCAGGGCCGCAGACGCTGCTGTTTGATGGCGGCATATTAAGCAGAGGCCCGATGGCACCTTTGCGCAGCTGCAAGCCGCCCGTGCTGCCCCGGAGCATGGCCGCCGCGGACCCCCGTCTGTCCACCACCCACACCGATCTCGGTAGTTGCACCGCGCCGCCCATGCATGGGCGCATAATCAGGATAAAGACGCTCGCCCGCGCCTGCCCCGGCGCAACCGACGTAGCACCTGCCCACCTTACCCCATCGACCGCACGGCCCCTCAACAAAGCGGCCACCACGAGGCACCGAAAACCCTTCATCAAGACCCATCCAGCCACCCTCCCTGGGAACCCCCACCCTCAAAGACCGCCAACACCCATCATTCCACCCTGTCATGGCCAATGAGAATGCCGTCCTCTGACAGCAACCTGCTGGCAATCCTGTTGGTAATCCTTAGGTCAGCAATCCTACTCCTGATCCCAACGTTAACAATCCTAATCCTAATCCTGATCCTGTTGCCACCCTCACCCGTGTTGAAGAAGCTGCTGACGACGTCTCTCACGTCCACAAACCCAAAGATGGTGGACCCGCTGCCCTGCTCCGCGTCCGGCGGCGGGCTGGACAGCTTGACGGGCGCGGACAGCACGCGCTTGGACGCGAGCATCTGAGAGGGCCAGGGGGGTTGAGGGCGGCAGCGGCGGCGCGGGCACTGGGTTGAGTGCGGTGCGGCTGACGGGGGTGGGGAGGCCGGCGGTGCGGCATGGTGATGGGCATCGCGGACGCGCACACACATGTGTTTGTTTTTGTGTGTGTCTGTGACGCGTATGCACACGCTTGCCCATGCGCGAGGAGAAAGGCTGGAGCAGCGGGGGAGCACGAAGACCCGCAGTGGAGGCGTGTCGATGCGAGGGCGTATGCATGCATGTGCGCGTGGAGGGCTGACAATGCTTCCGGGGGAGCCGCGCGCGTGCAGCGGCGCCAGGGGCGAGGCGGCCGGCGGCTCGGCCCCCCTGGGGCGGCCTGTGCTGCACACGCCAGCATCCCCCTGCAGCTGCCGCGCATCCCCGCGCCGCATGCGAGCGTTCGCTCCCAGGACGCCGCTTGGGCGCAGAGTTCGGCTCGAGGCAGCCGGGGTTTGACCGTTTGACCGCTGGTGGCGCGCGCAGCAGGGCGGCCCCCCGCACCTTCAGGGCTTGCTCCACTGTGGCGTTGTCCTTCAGCGTCGTGATGTTCTGTTGCGACCTGATATCATCGAGCCTGGTCTCCTCCAGCAGCTTCGCCTGGTGGTATAATACAGCCAGGCGCGGTGCAGCGGCGCGACGATCAACAGGCGGGCCGCAGCAGGGCGCACTTGGTGGCCAGCACACAGCGCCCGTCAGCACTGGAAGCGGGCACACGTCCTTTGCCAGCCGCGGGGGCCCTAGCAGACAGGATCACGTGTGCAGCAAAAACCATTCGAAAGACCCGTGAAAATGACCGCCAGAGCCCACGCCAAGTCCCCACCATCTTGGAGCGTTTGGGTTTGCGCGCCGAGATGGTGTTGCCCATCGGATGGGCTACCAAAAGCTGCTGTCTCTCCTATACAGTCGCGCTCTAGACGCCGCTAGCCGGAGGGGGGTTCGACTCAGATCACTACCGCAGCTGACACTGCTGTGCCTGAGAATACAATCGCTTGCGCCAACGCGACGGGCGAATGGTGCGAGCTCGTGGACGATCATATCCTATGTTGCGATAGAGAATCCCCCTGAGTCTCAACCCCCTCGCAAGCGGCTCCATCATCCATCTTGGGTGACGATTGTTGATCATCCGGCTTTGTCATGAAATATGATCCAGCACAAACTCTCACACATATCGTGCCTATCGACACTGATGACTTGCAATCCTATTATCCAAACAGAGCGCACTGGTCTTGCTCGGTCAGCAACGAAATGGGGGCGCACAGCGAAGCCTCGAGCACGGTGCTCGAGGAAGCAAGCGACGTGGAGTCGGACGTAAGTGCCAAGCAAGCGATGGCCGCAGCCACGGCGTGCGGCGAACGGACCGCCGACACGCCGCTGCGCCGCCCCCGCTGCAGGGTGTGCAGCGCGCGTTCAAGCTGCTGGGGCACCTGCAGCGCGAGAACAAGCAGCTGGCTGAAAATTTTGACAACGTGAGCGACCCGCACGCATGATACCCGGCGCGGGCCGGCCCGTCGGTCGGCTGCAGATGCGGCGTGTTAGTGTTCATCCCTTCCCTTGTGCTGCCACTTGCTCCCCGCGCCGTCGGCGGCCCGGCGCGCCACCGCTTGCTTGCCCCCCGCGCGGCCTCGTAGCTCAAGTCCGCACATTTGCAGCTGGCGGCCGCCCACTCGCAGCTGCAGACACGGCACGACGCATTAAAGCAGGAGCGGGTGGGTGCCGCGCCAAAGCGAGAGCGTGCCCGGTCCACCCATGCATCCCCTTGGATTTTACCGCTCCCCGCTGAGCTCCGACGGGCCGGACTGGGGCCGGGGCGCAAGCGCGCTTGGCAACACACCTGGTGCAGTACAATCTAGCAGCCTCAGGCCGCGTCGATGGCGGATGTTATTGATTGTTCCGTAATCACCGGACTGCGCTGAGTTTGAATTCTGCCCGCGACAGGTGGACATAGAGCGGCAGTACCAGCAGCTGTGCGAGTCGTGGCGGCAGGAGCTGGAGCAGAAACAGCGGGAGTTTGACGCTGCGCTGGCGCGCGCCGCGCCGCCCCTGTGAGGCCCTGCGCCGCCCCCGGCTCACTCCGAACCGCCCGCGCCCAGCCCCGGGGTCGGGGCGGGGACAGGTGTCCGCAGGCCTAGCAGCGGCAGAGGCCCCGGACAGCGGCCCCATGGTGCCGGCGCCGACGCTCATAACTCGTAGCTCGCGTCGCGTGCCCGTCTCACAACTCGTGTCGTCACGCCCCCTCCGAAACCGTGCGCCCGCGGCCCAGCGACGTGGATCTGATGCGGGCGCAGCTGCTGGATGAGGTGGAGGCACCCCACAGGGACAAGTGCGAGCGGCTGGCAAAGGTGGGCCCGCGTGGGTGGGGGCCGTCAGTGGGAATCAACACCGATATTGGTATCACGTTGAGGCGAGGGTGGTGACTGCAATCGACTAGCGTGATCGCTGCGCGGCGGAGCAGCAGGCTCATGCGTGGCCGAGCCTGCCTCATCGCCGACGCGCGCCCGCGCTGCCGGCCGCAGGAGGCGGAGGCGGCGCAGGAGGCGTTTGTGCGGCTGCGGCGGGAGCACGAGTCGCTGCAGAACGCCCACAAGGTGGGCACCCCTCTCGCCCCGCCCCGACCCCACCCCGACCCTCGGCCCGGACGCTTTTCCGCCCGCGGTGCCTGTGCACCCGCGCTTGCGGCTGCATGTGTCCCCTGGTTGCCGGCGCGTGCAGTGCGCTGCTAGCGCATCTTTGTAGCTTGCTCCATGCAGCCGTCCTCGTCAGTTTCATCAACTTTCATATATCAATCAAAATGTTCAACCCTTGAATAACGCAAACCCACCCCAGGCCTTAGAGCAGCGCCGCGCGTCTGAGCTGCAGCTGGTGCGCCTTGAGACAGACGCGGCCGAGGCGGCGCTCGGGAAGCGCCTGGCCGGCCACGCGCAGCTGCAGGGTGCGGGGGCGCGCGGGGCGCCGCGTGCAGGACGGAAGTTTGGGGGGCGCGGGGTCCCGAATTCTGGGCGCCTGCGGTCTGAGGAGATGCAAACGGCAGGCGAGGTTGCTGCCAGGCCGGGAAGGCGAGTGCGCGCGCGCGCGTGCATGGGGCGGACGCATGCTGCGGCGACGCATCCCCGTTTTGCTCCCGCGATGGATGCCCTCTCACTCGTTAGTTTCTCCGCGCCCCCGGCAGAGCGCGCGGCGTCCCTGGAGCAGCAGCTGCGCGCGGCGCGGCGGCAGGGCGAGGAAGCGGCGGCCGAGCTGCGGCGCGCGCGGGAGGAGGCGGCGGAGATGCGGGCCGCCAAGGAGGCGGCGGTGGTGGAGCGGGAGCAGGGGCTCGCGCGAGGGGGGCGCGCGGTGAAGCAGCTGCAGGTGTGTTCGATACGGCCGGGCGCCCGCAGGCAGGGGGAGGGGTGTCTTTGCCCTTCCCGCCCCCACCCCACCGCCGCATCCAGCCGCGGCCGCGTGTGCTTTGGATGCTCATGCGTTCTTCTGGAAACTGCTGCTGGCGGGGTGGGATGGCAATCGAGGTCGCGGTCGGATGGTGTGTTTGACCGCCCCGCGAGCTCAGCGTTCAAAAGCATGCGGTCGACAGGTGTCCTGCCGCACCGCCACGCCGCGCCTTGACGCTGCTCACTCGCAACAATTGTTTGACCCAAAAAACGGCAAAGGCGGAGGCGGCCGACCTGCGGGCGCTGTCCGAGGGCCTGGCCCGCAAGGCGCGGCACCTGCAGGTGCGGGTGCTGTGATCTGATCTGATCTGATCTGATCCAATCGGCTCAGATCTGATAAGAAATCGGCTCAGTTTTGATGGAGAATGAAAGCCGCCTGCGTTGTGCTGACCCATAATGCCATCCCACCAAGACGGGTGCGGAGGTGTCCGTTCCGCCGTCGCAGCGCCTGGCCTGGGCCCAAGGGGCGCATCACGTAATCCTCCCCTGGGGGCCTGCGCGATCTGGTCGCACCCCAGCTCTGGCTCTTAACCCTAGAAGGTCCCCCTGGAACCTGGCCGGACCCAGATTCAATCTGTTATGCTGCATTTGGTGCCAAACCTCTCACCTCTCTTTTGCATCCTGCCTGGCTATGAGGCAATTGTCTTCCGACCAGCCAAGCTCATGACAGATTTGATCGTTGATATCCTCGCTGCCAGGGGGAGCTAGACGAGTCAACGCGCGCCCAAGAGGCGACCCATGGCCAGCTCCTGGCGCTGCAGGCCGCGGCAGCGGCGTCCGATGCGCAGCTCGCCGACGCGCGCGCGGCGGCGGCGCGTGAGCGCCAGCTGGCGGCGGGGCGTGCGGCGGCGGCGGAGCAGCAGTGGCGGGACAAGGTCGGGGCGCTGCTGCAGGAGTGAGCGAATCATGAATATGGGTGTTTATTGCATTGCCAGAGGCGTCCGTGTTCATCCTGCCTTGGTGGATTTCGACTCTGTGCATGGGGAACAGCGATCCTGGACGCGTGCCGCATCTGGGAAGCGAGGGCAGCAGCCCGTGTCCGACCACACCTGCATGGTTGCCGAAAGAGACCCCCTCCCCCTTC